GATGCGTTCTGAACCAGCTGAAGCTGTTTGATTATCATTAGCTCCTAATGAAGAACAGCAGCACCTCATTCATTATCTAACAGACAGTGATTGTATAATCACTTGGTAATATTTAGAACCAAGTGAATTTGATGGCAGGACACACACACAGGTGAGAAGACTGGCCTACTTGTAGGCTGATGTGTGAATTGGTTCACACTGCCAATTATGAAGATGTGCATTAGTCTTTTAAGGTTTCTGATCAGAACAAACACATGAGGGACATCAATCAATACAGTGTGGTGTGACGCCCCAAGCCTTCTCTGAGGATACCTGCTTCTGTGAACAAAAATAGAGTATAATCCATTATATTGTAGAGACTGCACACTGTGTAGTGTATTTCACTACTGTTAGAAGTGTTGGAATACACTACACCAGTTAGCAGTTCACCAGGAACCTTGCAAGACTCAGCTATTGAGCAATTCATGTTGAATTGATAAGTAATTTATGGCTAGTTATTCTAAGAAACCATAGTTACTAAGTAATTATCTGTGAGATTTATTAGTTATTGTTTAGTTAATAGTGAACTACCCTAATCATTAGTTCACTATTATCTACTGAGTAGTTAATTAGTAATCCTTGATAGTTAGGTGTAGTTACTTAAGTGTTAATGCAGCACTACTCATTCATTCCTGCTTCGTCCCTGATTAGTTACTTATTAACTATGAAACAGTATTGTGGTGTTACCCTTCACTGCTGTGTATTTGGCCAGCAATGTAGGACAGCTTTTCATTCAGCTGTGATGTTTGTTTCTTGTCAAACTATGAGTTTGTGTTTTTTTACATCATTAGTCATCCTCATAAACAAGGGTGTCTGCTTTGGCCATAGACTGGGGCCGAGTGGCGCTACCAGGGTGCTCTGACACTTTAGGTTCTTTCTGCATTCTGATCACTGCCCTTAGGACACCCACTGATGTTTTGCAGTCAAATCTGGTCAAATCTGTTCTGCAAATGCAGTGACTGGGACGAATATTCTGCTCTGGCTTTGTGCTTTGCTTTGTCAGCAGCAACAGCTTTACTCACATTAGCAGCTCCATGTGTTCCGCTGGCCCAGCTCTGTGTGTCTCCACTGCCCGCTGCTCTGTTAAGCCCTCTGCTTGTTGTCTGTTGTTGAAACTCCCACACACTACAACTTGTGTAATGGAGGAATGCCAGAATGGTCAGACACAGTGCAAGTGATGCAGGAGAGAGGCTCATCATACACAGCCATGTCCAGCCCATGATGGAGTCTGTAACTACTGCAACAAAAAAGGCCATTATGCTAAAATGTGCAAATGAAAGACAGTAGGGGAAATAAGTGCTGCCAGTGAGACTTAACAGGACATCGCGTTCCTTGGTTCTGTGAGTACAGAAGGTTTTGAAGCCCCGTGGCTGGTAAAATTGTATCAAGAGAACATGGAAACTGAACTCAAGATCAATACTGCAGCTGATGTGACCGTAATACCTGCAGACATGTACAGTATGGACATGTACAGTTTGGCAAGTTGCAAAGGTCAAACAAAATTCTGATAGGACCAGGGCAGACAGAGTTAAACATAAAAGGGAAAATCAGACCCACTCTTAGCAAGAATGGTAAGCGCACTACTCAGGATTTGTATGTAGTGGCAGGTCTTAAAACTCCACTGCTTGTACCTCCAGCAGTAAAAACACTCAGACTAGTAGCTAGTGTGGACACAGTCAGCTTAAACAGCACAGAAGCTGTAAAACAAGAGTTCCCCAAGCTTTTCAAAGGTCTAGGGAAGCTAGAGTGGGAATATGAGATTGTTTTGGAGCCTAATGCTAGGCCATTTTCCATTCAGCATATATTTCATAATAATTAAACTTACTTGCCATAGACTTCTAAAGAAGATCTTCTTTTAAACATTGAATAGAAATGATCAGGTCCAATTCCATTACTTGCTGTGCTAATCTATCCTCCTCCGGTGCAGGTTAGTTTTCTGCCGGATTTATCTGAACTGCTTACTGAAATATGTGCTCTGTCATCTATTATCATATTACTTTATGACTTTAATTTTACACGTTGACAAGGCCTCAACTATATCTGCTTATTTTATGACAGTGCTCGACTGCTTTGGATTCACACAGCATGTAAACTTTCCCACACATGAGCATGGTCATACACTGGACTTAATCTGTACAACTGGACTTGATAATATTGATGTTCAGGGCACCCCTATTGGTATATCTGACCATCATTCTATTGAATTAAGCTTTAATTTCCATTTCTATAGGCACTTCAAGAAAACTATGGTGACTTACAGAAATCTGAAATCTCTGGATCCTTCAACCTTTTCTGCTTCACTTCGTTCTTCATGTCTCACTGACATCTCTTCCCTGTCCTGTCCTGATGAGATTTCCTCCGTATACAGTAACACGTTCTCCCTATGTCCGCAATCTTTGATTTATCTTTGACCCCACGCTGTCTGACATCTACTTCAATTCCATTGTTAAGACAGCATATTTCCAACTACGTAATATTGCTCATCTCCAACCATTTCTCAGCCAGGCTGATGTAGAAAAACTTCCATGCATTAATGACATCACGGCTATACTACTGCAATGTTCTTCTGTCTGGCCTCCCAGTCAAAACCACCACAATGTTACAGTATGTTCAGAATGCAGCTGCTAGAATCCTCACCTAGTCAGACTGACCACATCACTCCTGTCCTTCAGAGTCTTCCCTGGTTACCCATTACACTCAGTGGTCAGTACAAGGTTCTCTTTGTTACGTATTAAGCATCGCATGGTCTGGCTCATCAATATCTGGTTGCGCTTCTTTGACTATGTGTAAGGGTCCAGCCTGCGTGACCGGCCACCAGCAGAGGGCAATGGTGGCAAAGTGCCCAGCCTGTGCCGCTGGCCGCCAATAGAGGGCAACTGTGGCGAAGTGCCATAACTTCAGGGAACTCTAATTCCCAGAAGCCCTTGGGCTGATTAGGCCCAACCTGACACATCTGTGGACTCGTCTACTTAAGGCTGTGGCAAACAGCAGCCCTTTGTCACACCTTTGTAGAGGGGTGACTGGTACGGTACGCAGCCCAGGTGGGTATTTAAACAGAAAAGAAAAGAAAGGAAAAGAGGGCTGGGAAAAAAAGAGTAATTGCCCCAAAACTGCTCACCCACAAGAAGGCTTGAGCTACAAACAGCTCCAAGCCATATAAAGGTGTTTTCTCCACTAGGAGCAAACAGGTGAAACAAAGTCTGTCTTCCTCTCATAATCACAGAGGAAGTAACTTTTATTTTCTCACTATCTTTTATTTCACATTTCTAGTTCAGCCTTTGTTTGAGCTGCTTTCAGGGCTTTGTTTGCCCTTTTTCCTGCCTTTTGATTGGACCGCTGATCAGTACATTGGGGGCGGTTCGAGCCTTTACTTCAATCCCAACATGCCAAGCTCAGATTCCTTTGCCTCAATAAATTTATTTAACACCCTTTCTCACAGGTTTTCATCTTTGCACTTAGGTCCGCCTCCCTGCTGTCCCATAACACTGTGACCCATCCTGTACTTTAAGATTGCAAGATTTAGGCCTTCATGTTCCAAGGTTTAATTTGACTTCTATGAGTGGTTGATTATGTCGTGCAGTAGCTCCCTAATTATGGAATACTCTGCCTTAGTCTGTTCAGGGAGCTCCTTTCTATATTCACTTAAATCTCTGTTAAAGACTTACTTGTTTTTACTGTTATCATTGTTCTATTTATACTTGATTGTTTACCTTTATTGTCCTTTTGTTAATTGTTCAGTGTATTTATGTGCCTTATAAATAAGTGATGATGATGATGATGATGATGATGTATTATTTCTGCACATTTATTGGAAATTGTGCCCTGAACTGAACTTCTTCCACCTGGATGTACAGATGATCTTTATGTTTACGAACATTCTGACTTGATTTATATCTTCAGTTTTCAGAATTCGGTTGATATTTATGATCAAATGTGTGTATATACTGAATATTCTACAGTAGCTTTAAGCGTGGCTCAGCCAATCAGATTTTAGAAACAGAATTATCCTTTTTATAGTGATAAATATTAAATATTGGATTATAAAGGCAAAGAAGAAAAATTTAATGGCAATAATGTCTTATTTATTTACACTGCTTACTGTTATAATGTGATCTATAAAAAGAGACAAAGAAAAACTTTGTCTTCCTAGCTGAATCAAAAACAAAAGAGTATATTTAAAACAACAATATTTAAAACAACAACACTTTACTACCCCACAGTGCAGCTAATTGTTCATTATTTATTTATTATTGATTTATTGATGAAACAATTCTTGGGTATTATTATCTTATTCTTCAGTTCAGGACTCAGTTTCACAAACATGTGTTAGTATTAACATCATCTAGACTGTTAGGGAAGAGAGAGAGAGAGAGTTGAGTGTGATGCTCACTCTACCATTTAAGAATCCTCTGTGCTGAGGTGCTTTTGAGAAACCAGCTCAGTTCAGTCGTTCTGTAAACAGTTAAACTCAATATATAAGATATGATTTCCAACCTGCTAACTAAAAAGCTGAGCTAACTAAACTAAGAAGCTTTGCTTAATTTCAGGAATTAAATAATTGATTTAGTTATGTTTTTAATAGAAATTAATCATTTAACCAGCAAGGCCCTAGGTGAGCTGGTGTGGAATGTCATGCCTCCCTCCGGCACGGCTGGAACTACAGCCAACACTATTGCTTCAGACTACAATTCCCAGAACCCCTCTCTGCCTTACATGACTCTGAAATCCACCTGACCAACATATCAGCGCTCTTCCTCACCAGATTTCTAATCACACACACCTGTTCCTCATTTTATGCCTAAAGATCTTAATTCAAGCCTTGTCTGTGAGTGTCTGGTTCCATGAACAATGTATTAAAAGAGAATATTGTTTAAGAATGTTTCTCAGGCTCAGATTAAATGAGGTTAATAAATCGTGTCAAGTCAAAAGTGTTTGCTCATTTACTCTCAACATGCTGTCAGGTTAAAGTGCGCAGGATCTCCTCAACCCAGCTGTGTGTCTATGAAGAGTGACTGGTCCATGCCTGAGCATCCTGGATTCAGCAGAGGAGGAGGAGAACCCAGCCGTGTGTCTATGAAGAGTGACTGGTCCATGCCTGAGCATCCTTCATTCAGCAGAGGAGGAGGAGAACCCAGCTGTGTGTCTATGAAGAGTGGCTGGTCCATGCCTGAGCATCCTTCATTCAGCAGAGGAGGAGGAGAACCCAGCCGTGTGTCTATGAAGAGTGGCTGGTCCATGCCTGAGCCTCCTACATTCAGCAGAGGAGCTGTACCCTCTGAGTCAGAGTGAGTTGTTGTCCTTCATTATGACTCTGAATAGTCAACAGTTTAAACATGTAAAACTGTTATTAATGCTCTGTTCCAGTTTAGAAATAGTCATAATTATAGATGTTTTGTAGTGTAATGACCTAAACTATTTGTGGGTCTTGAGGTCACAAGATGGAAAAAGGGAAAGACACAAAGGCCCGTGTTTTACATACAACTTTCTGTTATGTTGGTTCCCATCTCTTTACTGCATTATATTTTTAGTTCAGCACAGAAAAGACATCAGGGAGGGCTAACACCAAAATAATAAACAAAGCTGAAATCTAACTAGAGCAGGTCAGGAAAGATAAACAACCTAACAAAAGAAAGAAAGCAAAAAGGTATGAGCACTGTCCGCTCTCTCCTTACCTGAAAAACAAACATGAGAGAGTAAATTTTAAAGAAGTGGCACCCACCCCAACACCCGGGCTGTTGTAAATAAGTCAGAGAAGTGTACATAGCTGCTCCACTCAGTTGTGTTCTGTGGTTCAGTCAGAATTTCTTAGTGTCCATGAAATGTTAAATTCTGCAGTTGTTAAATGTGTGAAAGAACTTGATCGTTCTAAATATAATAGTTTAGCAGTAGGTAGTCTTGGCTACCCAGCAGATCCTGAGTGCATATGTGCTCACTCAGACTTTAACATTTGGAACGCAGTTTGTTTCTTGAATCAAGACATGAAGTTCATCATGGGAACCTGATTTAAACCTGTAGAAGGAGTTATTCAATTAAGCATAAATTATATTAAAGTACAATGCAATTATAATTACATAAGTAAAATATTACATAAGTATTTCCATCAGTGATCTGCATTGTGAGCTCTTATTCTGGTTATTTGTGTTGATGTTTGTGTTGCTGTGTTTGACTCCATCAGGCTGAGCTCCACAGAACCTGCACTGCAGATAAACACTCTGTTGGAGGGAACTGGAGACCTGAATCAGGATTCTTACCAACCAGTGGATGATGATCTACACAGAGTCTTACAGAGACACAAAACCAGCATGAAGAACAAGTACGAGAGCTTATTTGAGGGAATCAGAACAGAAGAGAATAAAACCCTCCTGAACAGGATTTACACTCAGCTCTACATCATAGAGGGAGAGAGTGAAGGAGTGAATGAAGAACATGAGGTTCTACAGATGGAGAAAACACCCAGGAGACACTTACAAGACTCTCCAATCAACTGCTTAGACATCTTTAAACCTCTACAAGGTCCTGAAGGAGAAACACGAGAAGAGACCATTAGAGCTGTGAAGGCTGACAGACTCAGACACAGAGAAAGAGAAGATCACAGACCAGAAGAGCCAGAGCTCAGAGCTGTTCTGACTAAAGGCATCGCTGGAATTGGAAAAACTGTCTCTGTGCAGAAGTTCATTCTGGACTGGGCTGAAGGAAAAGCCAATCAGGATGTAGAGCTCATGACTGTGCTTCCGTTCCGGGAGCTGAACCTGATTAAAGATGATCAATACAGTCTTCATGGACTTCTGTGTGACTTCCATCCTGAGCTCAAAGATCTGGACCCAGAGATTTATGATCAGATCAAAGCTGTGTTTATATTTGATGGTCTGGATGAAAACAGAATTCCACTGAACTTTGAACAGTGTGAGGAAGTATCTGACATCACCATGACATCATCAGTGGGAGTGTTGATGACTAACCTCATCAAAGGAGAGCTGCTTCCCTCTGCTCTGATCTGGATCACCTCCCGACCAGCAGCAGCCAATCAGATCCCTCCTAAATACATCAACCGTGTGACAGAGATTCAGGGATTCAGTGACCCACAGAAGGAGGAGTACTTCAGGAAGAGGATCAGTGATGAAGACCAAGCCCAGAAAATCATCTCCCACATTAAGACGGTGAGGAGCCTCCACATCATGTGCCACATTCCAGTCTTCTGCTGGATCTCAGCCACTGTTCTTCAGAGAATCATGAAACAGCCTCATACAGAAATCCCTAAAACTCTGACTGAAATGTACTCACACTTCCTGATCACTCAGACCAACATGAAGAACGAGAAGTATGAGGAGGAAGACGAGAGAAACCCAAAGAACCTGCTGGAGTCCAACAGAACCATGATACTGAAACTGGCTGAACTGGCTTTCAAACAGCTGATGAAGGGCAATGTAATGTTCTATGAAGAGGACCTGAGAGAGAGCAGCATTGATGTCACTGAGGCCTCAGTGTATTCTGGGATTTTCACTGAGATCTTTAGGGAGGAATGTGTGCTTCACCAGAGGAAGGTCTACTGCTTTGTTCATCTGAGCTTTCAGGAGTTTCTGGCTGCTGTTTATGTGTTTCACTGCTATGAGATCAAAAACATGAAGGAACTGGAGATATTTAACCCATGGGGCAGTAAGTGGTCTAAGAATATTCCACTGGATGAACTGCTGGAGGGAGCAGTGGATACATCTGTAGAGAGTCAGAATGGACACCTGGATCTTTTCCTCCGTTTCCTGCTGGGCATCTCACTGGAGTCCAATCAGAGACTCCTACAGGGTCTACTGACCCCAACACAGCGCAGCTCAGAGAGAACCAGAGGGCGCATCAAGAGTTTAATCAAAGGAAATCAAACCTCCACTGAGAGATCCATCAATCTGTTCCTCTGTCTGTCTGAAGTGAATGACCAGTCTGTCTCCAGAAAGATTCAGGAGAATCTAAACTCAGAGAGACACTCAGAGGAGAAACTCTCTCCTGGACAGTGTTCAGCACTAGCCTGCATGCTCCTGAACTCAGGGGAGGTTCTGGATGAGCTGGACCTGAGGAAGTACAACACATCAGAGGAGGGTTATAGGAGACTGATCCCAGCTGTGACTGTCTGCAGGAAAGCTCGGTGAGTGTTTTATCTACATTAATACAACATATATTAATATTTAATAACTGATTAATAATTGATCTCATATCAGTTACAAATCTACAAATCAGTGTTCAGTTATTTAGTATTCAGAATATAAACCTTGTAGCTCCGCCTTCCGAGTGTTCAGTTAGAGACTGTAGCTCACAGTGTTTCTAATAAAGTGGCCAGTGTGTATAATCTGTGTTATAGTATGATATGAAAGATCGAAGGTCAGTTTATAGCTAAAGGGAAATTCCACCATTTTTCAAAATTCTCCCATAATTCTGTGTGTGAGGTGTAAACAGAGAGATTCAGAGTGGTTTGGTGTGAAATGGTTCAGATGTCTTTACAGTGGTGGTGATAGGAACCAGGGGTCGCCATGACTACAACACAAATATAGACATTTTATTTACTATCCAGAACCACCAGTGAACCTACACGAGTCTTCTGAGTTTATATGAATGTTGATGAAGGAAAATAGTGGAAAATAAAATAAATAAATAATGTTTCTGATATTAAGTGGGGAATTTCATGTGTGATTGGAGCCAGACGTTTAATGGCTTTACATAGAAATGGTCACACAAATTCAGAAATAATAATATTATTATTATTACTATTATTATATGTATCGATTGTGAAAATTTGAAACAACACCACTAACTTTCTGTACTATCGATTCCATCCACACTCACACACACATACACATACACTCACACGCACCAACACACATACACACATTTACACACACACACACACACACACACACACACACACACACACACACGTACACGCACTGAGTGTTATAAACTCTCAGTGTCTCATCAGAGAGTGAGACGTCTTCACTGCTCATATATATGTGTATATTTAAACTCATGCTCAGTTATTTACACTGAAAGGTATACTTGAATCCAAACCCTCACAAAATCTAAGAGGAGTATTTTATATCTCACGCCTGAGAGACTCTTTATATATACGTTTTAGCTGATTCCTAGAAGTGACAACATCCACTTTTCAACATCCACTTTCCCTCAGTCAGCGACTGCTTCCTTCACAACAAACAGCACCTACAAAGACTTAAACACACTCATGATTTAGCTTTGAGTCTGATCATCATCAGCAGTGTGTGAGCTTTGGCCCCATTCTTACAGTCTGCCGTCACCTTAGTCCCTTCAGCAGTAACACTGTCAGTGGGCCCTTCACTGCTGACGGTTTAATTCATCACTATGATCTTCATGTTGAACAAAGCTGTCGTTTATATCATCCTTAATGACTTCCTGCAAACACAAACTGCAGATACAGCATATAAGCGTAACATCACACACAGCTGGGGAGGCCAGTCTCAGTCCTGATGTTCTACCACCCTGCAGAGTTTAGCTTCAACTCTAAACACACACCTGACCCAGGAGACGACTTTCAGGATCATCTGAATATTACAGTCAGGTGTTCTGGATCTGAGCTCTCCAGGGTTTTAGATCTGCAGGACCAGGACTGAGCTCCTCTGCTGTGCAGTGATGAGGAAGCAGATCTCCTGATAGTCTTGAGTTAGTATTTTAAACAGGATGACAGACTGTCAGTTACCCTTCAGTGTTTGTGTGTTGTGGAGAGCAGATCAGGAGAAATGTAAAATAATGTGATATAAACAGAAAACATTTTTAGCTAGAAAGGGAAAGTTCGTGAACAAACCTTAAGTTGGCTTGAAAAAGCCAGTTAATAACGTTAAAACGTTAAAATGGTTGAAGACTGCTGATAGCTGTTAACATGTTGCCAAATGTTGCTAAGCAGAAGCTGCAGTATCTGTGGTGGACGGTAATTTGTTGCTAGGTGCTACTGTCAATGAAGTTCCACCTTGAAGTCTGCGCAACCTTAAATTTAGTGCTACATTAAAGAGAGTTCCACCTGAAATTCCATGCCACCTTAATTTTAGTGCTATGTTTATTGAAGTTCCACCTTAAATTTAGTGCTACCTTAAAAGCAGTTCCACCTTAAATGTGGTGTTAAATTCACTGCCACCTTAAATTTAGTGCTAACTTTAATGCAGCTCCACCTTAAATAAAGGTCCACATTAAATTCTGTGCCACCTTGACAGACGTTGCACCTTAAATTCTGTGCCTCCTTAAATTTAGTGCTATGTTAATTGAAGTTCCACCTTAAATTCAGTGCTAACATAAATGCAGTTCCACCTTAATTTCAGTGTCAGTGTAAACTCAGTGCTACCTTGAAAGAAGTTCCACCTTAAAATTCAGTGCTACCTAGGGGAAATCCACCTTAAAAGCAGTTCCACCTTAAGAAATCATTATGTGTGCTGACACTGCTGAGTATTAGGCTGGGAGTGGGTGAGACATTGGGCTCCGTGCGTGAGTTTGGATGTGTGTGTGAGAGAGGTGGCCATTGTGACATCATGTGTGGCATGCTGCCAACATTCCGCCCATTCATTCCCTATGGGAAAAAATATCGACTTTGAACGATAATTTTCCGAAAACCGTACGTCGGATCGCTTAGAAAAGCACAAGCACACCCCGCGGGATACAGGCTCTACGATCCTGCAAAGTTACATTTTCTAGCTCGAAAACTGTGGGAGGAGTAGCATTTTATATTTCGAGCGTAGAATAATAATAATAACTAGACAGGAAAAGTTCGTGAACAAACTAAGTTGCCTTGAAAAAGCCAGTTAATAACATTAAAACGTTAAAATGGTTGAAGACTGCTGATAGTTGTTAACATGTTGCCAAAATGTTGTGAAGCAGAAGCTGCAGTATCTGTGGTGGATGGTAATTCGTTGCTAGGTGCTACTGTGAATGAAGTTAAATTCTATGCCACCTTAATTTTAGTGCTACCTTAAAGAGAGTTCCACCTTAAATTCTTTGTCACCTTAAATTTAGTGCTACAGTAACTGCAGTTCCACCTTAAATTCTATGCCACCTTAAAAAGAGTTCCACCTTAAATTTGGTACCACCCTGAATTTAGTGCTACGTTAATTGAAGTTCCACCTTAAATTCTGTGCCACCTTAATTTTAGTACTACTTTAAGGAGAGTTCCACCTTAAATTCTGTGCCACCTTAATTTAAGTGTTACCTTAAAGAGAGTTCCACCTTAAGTTTTGTGCTGTGTTGATTGAAATTCCACCTTAAATTCTGTTCCACCTTAAATTTAGTGCTATGTTAATTGTTGTTCCACCTTAAATATAATGTTATGTTAATTGAGGTTCCACCTTAAATTTTCTGCCATCTTAAATTTAGTGCTATGTTAATTGGAGTTCCACCTTAAATTCTGTGCCACCTTAATTTAAGTGTTACCTTAAAGAGAGTTGCACTTTAATTTTAGTGCTATGTTGATTGAAGTTCCACCTTAAATTCTGTTCCACCTTAAATTTAGGGATATGTTAATAGCAGTTCCACTTTTAATGCTATGTTAATTGAAGTTCCACCTTAAATATAGTGCTACCTTAATTTTAGTGCTTCCTTAAGGAGAGTTGTACCTTAAATTCTGTGCCACCTTAAAAGAAATTTGACTTTAAATTCTGTGCCATTTAATTTGATTGCTATGTTAAGGAAAGTTCCACCTTAAATTATGTGCCACCATAAAGAGAGTTCCACCTTAAATTCTATTCCACCTTAATTGTAGTGCTATGTTGATTGAAGTTCCAACTTAAATTCCGTTCCACCTTAAATTTAGTAAAATGTTAATAGAGGTTCCACCTTAAATTTAATGCTATGTTAATTGAAGTTGCACTTTAAATTCGGTGCCATCTTAAGTTTAGTGCCTTGTTAATTGAAGTTCCACCTTAAATTCTGTTCCACCTTAAATTTAGAGCTATATGAATAACAGTTCCACCTTAAATATAAGGTTATGTTAATTGAGGTTCCACCTTAATTTCTCTTCCACCGTAAATTTATTTATGTTTTACCTTAAATTCAGTGCTATCTAAGTGCAATCCCACCTTAAAAGCAGTTCCACCTTAAAAAATCATTCTGTGTGCTGACACTGCTGAGCATTAGGCTGGGAGCAGGTGAGACATTGGGCTCCGTGCGTGAGTTTGGATGGGCGTGTGAGTTAAGGGCCATTGTGACATCATGTCTGGCATGCTGCCAACAGTCCGCTCAATGTAAGTCTATGAGAGAAACAAATGATGGAATAAAACGACAAACGGATGAGTGCGGGTCAGAACGACAGTGGATTCATGCTCGGGGACCTGCCCTGAGATAGTGTATCAAAAACGGTGTCGATCGGGTGAGCAGAAGTACCTTAGATTGGCATGCAAATGTTGACCCCATTCATTCTCTATGGGAAAAAATTCTGCGAAATTCCTTCCTACACAGAATCCGTGCATCCGATCAAAAAGCTGTATACAAGCACACATCACACAATCAGGCCGGACAATCTGGAGTTGGAACGGTGTCGATATCTCGAAAACTGTGGGATGAGTTACGCGGCAAAGAAACGACAGAAAAATAAGAATAACTAAAAAAGTGCATTTCCTGAACGCAGAATGGCTGTTATCCGGTGTCGACCAGAGGAGGATGGGTTCCCCTTTTGAGTCTGGTTCCTCTCGAGGTTTCTTCCTCCTGTTGAGGGAGTTTTTCCTTGCCACTGTCGCCAAGGCTCGCTCACTGGGGGCGTGGACCCGGATTCTCTGTAAAGCTGCTTTGTGACAACATCTGTTGTAAAAGGCACTATATAAATAAATTTGACTTGACTTGACTTGGTTGCGCAGCGGTTACTATGGAAGTTTATAGGAGGAACGAGGGATGAAAAAACTACACATAGAGGAGTGTGGATCAGTAAGGCGGTGAATTAGAGCTTGGAGACCTGACCTGAATGAGTGCATGTACTTGGTGGCTGTTGGGAAAATGACAGATTAGGGCTTTGTTGCGAAAGAAAATTAATGGGACTTTATGGGAGGAATAAGGGATGATAGAGACAGATAGAGGAGTGTGGGTCAGGATGTCTGTGGATTAGAGCTTGGGGACCTGCCCTGAATGAGTACATGCATTTCGGTG